CGCAGAACACCACAAGCACAACACAAGACCCTACAGAACACCACAAGCACAACACAAGACCCTACAGAACACCACAAGCACAACACAAGACCTGCAGAACACCACAAGCACAACACAAGACCCTACAGAACACCACAAGCACAACACAAGACCCTACAGAACACCACAAAGCACAACAAGACACAGACCTGCAGAACACCACAAGCACAACACAAGACCCTACAGAACACCACAACACCACAGAACACCACAGCACAACACAAGACCCGCAGAACACCACAAGCACAACACAAGACCCTACAGAACACCACAACACAAACACAAGCACCCGACAGAACACCACAAGCACAACACAAGACCCTACAGAACACCACAAGCACAACACAAGACCCTACAGAACACCACAAGCACAACACAAGACCTGCAGAACACCACAAGCACAACACAAGACCCTACAGAACACCACAAGCACAACACAAGACCCGCAGAACACCACAAGCACAACTCAAAACAATGCAGAACACCACAAGCACAACTCAAAACAATGCAGAACACCACAAGCACAACTCAAAACAATGCAGAACACCACAAGCACAACACAAAACCCCTACAAACACCACAAGCACAACACAAGACCCTATAGAACACCACAACACAAGACCCTGCAGAACACCACGACACAAGACCCTGCAGAACACCACAACACAAGACCCCAGAACACCACAAGCAGATAACACCACAAGCACAACACAAGACCCTCCATAACACCACAAGCACAACACAAGACCCTGCAGAACACCACAAGCACAACACAAGACCCTGCAGAACACCACAACACAAGACCCTGTAGAACACCACAAGCAAAACACAAGACCCTGCAGAACACCACAACACAAGACCCTGCAGAACAGCCACAAGCACAGCACAAGACCCTGCAGAACACCACAAGCACAGCACAAGACCCTGCAGAACACCACAAGCACAGCACAAGACCCTGCAGAACACCACAAGCACAACACAAGACCAATGCAGAACACCAAAAGCGTTAAACACCCAATAGGGAGTCGGTATTACCTAGTAGAATGTTTTGGAGCCATACGTGATGTAACCTAAGATCTAATTTAATTGGCCAATGAACTCGAGAGACGCGTCTGGCCAAGGAGAAGAAGCTGGGTTAATTTAACTTGTGTATAATAACTGGCATTGAATAACTTGGTGGGCGGACAGAATGTGTTATATTTATTAAATTTTGATAACCATGTCTTAATTTTGGAGGCGATGAATCCATGGTTAGGTTAATTTAGGTTAGTTTTATACTGAACCGGTCACGAATTGTCCTAGAACCATTAACAGTGAAAGAGATTACAGTACTTCAGCAGGAGTTGGGGTAGAAGTGTGTCAGGGTGTAGAGACGTGCGTGGTGAACAGGGTGCAACTAAGTGCGTCTTTCATGCTCAGCCCCACCCCCCCCCTAGACACACCTCTTACATTGTCACTCGCTCCACCAACCACTGTACACCTATAGAGTTCACTAAGCATCTTGCTCTCTTTACCTACATGTATACACTACCTACATGTATACACTGCCTTCATGTAAACACTGCGTACATACATGTCTACACTGCCTACATATATGCAGTACCCACATGTATACACTGTCTATATGTATAAACTGCCTACATGTATACACTGCGTACATGTATAAACTGCCTACATGTATACACTGCATTCATGTAAACACTGCGTACATGTCTACACTGCCTACATATATGCAGTACCCACATGTATACACTGTCTATATGTATAAACTGCCTACATGTATACACTGCGTACATGTATAAACTGCCTACATGTATACACTGCCTTCATGTAAACACTGCGTACATGTATACACTGCCTACATGTATACACTACCTACATGTATACACTGCCTACATGTATACACTGCCTACATGTATATACAACCTACATGTATACACTACCCACATGTATACACTGCCTATATGTATACACTGCCTACATGTATGTCACACACCTACATGTATATACCTACATGTATACACTACCCCACATGCATACACTGTCTGTATGTATACACTGCCCTGCATGTATACACTACCCCTGTATACACTGCCCCATGTATACACTACCCCACATGTATACACTGCCTATGTGTATACACTGCCTACATGTATACACTACATGTATATACAACCTACATGTATACACTACCTACTGCCTACATGTATACACTGCCTGCATGTATGTACAACCTACATCCTTATACACTACCCACATGTATGCACTACCCACATGCATACACTGTCTGTATGTATGCACTGCCTGCATGTATACAGCCTACATGTATACACTGTCTATATGTATAAACTGCCTACATGTATACACTGCGTACATGTATAAACTGCCTACATGTATACACTGCCTTCATGTAAACACTGCGTACATGTATACACTGCCTACATGTATACACTACCTACATGTATACACTGCCTACATGTATACACTGCCTACATGTATATACAACCTACATGTATACACTACCCACATGTATACACTGCCTATATGTATACACTGCCTACATGTGTACACTACCTACATGTATACACCAGCAAATTTCATACTTGTATTTTCAAGTATAGTAAATGTTACATATTTCAGTTGTTTTCTTTCGAATAAAAAATGTTCATTAACAAAGGTGTGTGGAGGCAGCTGTTATAGATCGTGCGATAGGGAGGGTGGAGTGTGTGTGGCAGGAGGCAGGTTATGACAAGAATTCCATCAGTGTTCAGCACAGGTTGGTCGCCACAACAACACTGAGATGACAGTGTCAGTAACAACAACTAATCCACAGTAAAAATGTCGTAAACAAAAGACTGGGTTTATAAATGCCATGCTTACAGGGGTCAACTACCTCAACTAACACAGTCTGTGATCATATATGACGTGTGTGTGTGTGTGTGTGTGAGCTAATGAAACATCCACATGCAAAAATAATAAACCAGCAGGTGGCGCCATGTACCAGGAGCTAGGGCATATAATCCTTTGGTAAATACAGGCACCTATAATTAATACGTCAATGATATAATGTTATACAATCGATTATGTTCAGGTACGATCAAAACAAAGTGTACAAATCACAGTAAAATTATCCCAGGAAGGAGAGCGGCTCCGGGTGTGGTTGTGTCTGACAGATGCAGTGGCGTGTCCCAGGATGTGTCTCTGGTACCTCCCCTCACCTTGGTCACGCCTCACTAGTAACCTTCCCGCTGCCTCACGTGCCTTGACACCTTCCTCCATCATCTGACACATTTCTCCATCATCTGACACCTCCCTCCATCACATGACACCTCCCTCCATCACATGACACCTCCCTCCATCGCCTGACACATCCCTCCGTCACCTGACACCTCCCTCCATCACCTGACACCTCCTTCCATCACCTGACACCTCCCTCCATCACCTGACACTTTCCTCCATCACCTGACACTCCCTCCATCTTCATGGCACTGTGGTTCAGGTCTTCATGGCTCGGGCCACCTAACACACTATTACGTATGTCTCTGTATTTACATAATATTAAGATGTGTGCTGTGTACTCATTCTGTATCAGTCACCGTTTAAAGAACAGTTTTCTATGAAAGGAGATATATGAGATGTACAGTACAGTATGTACTTTGTAATAATTAGTTTATTTTTCCATTAGATGTGAATTATATTGATTCTATGTAATTTATAATATTTTGTAATCATACAAAGAAGTTTTGAGTTATTAATACAGGTAGTCTAATGGTATGTATTGTCTGTTTACGTTTAAGTGTGCTGCCTTCCTCCAGGGGTGAGCACAGGGAGTAGATATGAGACCAGCATTATGGGTGAATAATAAGTGATACTCTTGTTTACTGTAAATACAATAAGTATTAGTTGTTATAAGCTGGTGTTACTTTGAACCTTGATTACACGATTTGATGAATAGTTTTCTTTGATGTATTCCCACAGTAATGGTTGCCCCTCGTGCAACGAGGATGGCCGGCCCAAGGGCCACCTAGGCGTGAATTTGTTTAAGGTGTAGAAGCTGTCGCCAACACAACAACCACACCCTAAGTTAACGAGCTGCATGACCCAGTGTCAAGGAATAGTCCGAGAAGACCGGACAAATCACCAACTGCACTGGCTAACCATTACCCCGGATCACGATCCGCAAATCGATTAACATCCAAGTCATCAATTACTGCTGGGTCGATAGAGGGAAATGGAGTAAGGAAACTTGCCCACGTTTCACCCTGCCCGGGGATCGAACCCGGGTCCGCTCGCTTGCGAGGCGAGCATGCTAACCAGTGCCCGGGTGGGCAAATCCCTATTTATAAAAAAATATAAATAAATAAATAACGGAATCTCGCTCTAACGGACTTCCTTCTTTATAAAGTCCGTTAAATGGAGGTTCTGTTGTAATGGTACCTCTTGTTTCTTCCATCAATCCAAAGTTACCTGGGCGTGGAGGACCCTGGAGTCTCACACACACACACACGTCAGGGGGTGTGTGTGAGTGCTGAACTGAGTGTGTTGAGGCGAGTGTGTTGGGTTGAGGGTATAACACACACACACACATCAGGTGTGTGTGAGTGCTGAACTGAGTGTGTTGAGGCGAGTGTGTTGGGTTGAGGGTACACACTCACACACACACGTCAGGGGTGTGAGTGCTGAACTGAGTGTGCTGGGAGGCGAGTGTGTTGGGCTGAGGGCACACACACACACACACACACACACACACACACACACACACACACACACACACACACACACACACACACTCACTCAAGGGGGGATTGAGTGTGTCAAGGGTGAGTGTGTCAGGGGGGGGATGTGAGAGTGTTGAGTTGAGTGTGTTGGGTTGAGGGACATAGAGCTCCCCAGGTGTGAAGTCATCCGTAAATACAGGTATGGTTGTATATATATAAGGTGACGCCCAGCTTCCACCAGTACCACACCTTCCCCACCTCCGTCACCTGACTGCCGCCGCCCCTCGCTCCCTCCAAGTTATCACTGTCCACTGTCCATAGCAGGTAAGTTACTACTGTCCACTGCCCATAGTAGGTAAGTTACTACTGTCCACTGTCCTGAGCAGGTAAGTTACTACTGTCCATAGCAGGTGAGTTACTGCTGTCCACTGTCCTGAGCAGGTGAGTTACTACTGTCCACTGCCCATAGTAGGTAAGTTACTACTGTCCACTGTCCATAGCAGGGAAGTTACTACTGTCTACTGCCCATAGTAGGTAAGTTACTACTGTCCACTGCCCATAGTAGGTAAGTTACTACTGTCCAGTGTCCACTGTCCTGAGCAGGTGAGTTACTACTGTCCACTGTCCATAGCAAATAAGTTACTACTGTCTACTGTCCATAGCAGGTGAGTTAATACCGTCCACCGCCCATAGGTAGGTTACTACTGTCCAGTGTCCACTGTCCTGAGCAGGTGAGTTAATACTGTCCACTGTCCATAAGTTACTACTGTCCACTGTCCATAGCAGGGAAGTTACTACTGTCTACTGCCCATAGTAGGTAAGTTACTACTGTCCACTGCCCATAGTAGGTAAGTTACTACTGTCCAGTGTCCACTGTCCTGAGCAGGTGAGTTACTACTGTCCACTGTCCATAGCAAATAAGTTACTACTGTCTACTGTCCATAGCAGGTGAGTTACTACTGTCCACTGTCCATAGCAGGTGAGTTACTACTGTACACTGTCCATAGCAGGTGAGTTACTGCTGTCCACTGTCCATAGCAGGTGAGTTACTACTGTCCACTGTCCATAGCAGGTGAGTTACTACTGTCCACTGTCCATAGCAGGTGAGTTACTGCTGTCCACTGTCCATAGCAGGTGAGTTACTACTGTCCACTGTCCATAGCAGGTGAGTTACTACTGTCCACTGTCCTGAGCAGGTAAGTTACTACTGTCCACTGCCCATAGTAGGTAAGTTACTACTGTCCACTGTCCATAGCAGGTGAGTTACTACTGTCTACTGTCCATAGCAAATAAGTTACTACTGTCCACTGTCCAAGTGTCCATAGCAGGTAAGTTACTACTGTCCACTGCCCATAGTAGGTAAGTTACTACTGTCCACTGTCCATAGCAGGTGAGTTACTACTGTCTACTGTCCATAGCAAATAAGTTACTACTGTCCACTGTCCTGAGCAGGTGAGTTACTACTGTACACTGTCCATAGCATATAAGTTACTACTGTCTACTGTCCATAGCAGGTGAGTTACTACTGTCCACTGTCCTGAGCAGGTAAGTTACTACTGCCCACTGTCCGTAGTAGGTAAGTGTGTGCGTAAAAGAACGAGAAAGGTTAATACACACACACACACACACACACACACACACACACACACACACACACACACACACGAAAATTTTTATTTATTCTGACGGTTGACTCGTGAATTTTATCAATCTGTATCCACCTATCACTCTCACCCACCACCCCTGACACACACACACCCATCCACCACCCCTGACACACTCATCCACCACCCCTGAAACACTCATCCACCACCCCTGACACACTCCTCCACCACCCTGACACACTCCCTCCACCACCCTGACACACTCCCTTCACCACCCTGACACACCTCATATCCACCACCCCTGACACACCTCATCCACCACACCCCTGACACACTCATCCACCACCCTGGACACACTCCATCCACCACCCTGACACACCCCATCCACCACCCCTGACACACCCATCCACCACCCCTGACACACTCCATCCACCACCCTGACACACCCACATCCACCAACTCTGACACACTCCATCCACCACCCTGACACACTCATCCACCACCCCGACACACTCATCCACCACCCTGACACACCCATCCACCACCCCTGACACACCTCATCCACCACCCTGACACACTCCATCCACCTCAATCTCTGACCACTCCATCCACCACCACTTTGACACACCCATCCACCACACCACCCTGACACTTCTACCCACCACCTTGACAACACTCATCCACCAATTCTGACATCCGACCCATCACCCTGACACTCTCACCCACCACCCTGTCACACTCATCCACCACGCTGACCCACCACCACCCTGACACTCCGACCCATCACCCTGACACTCTCACCCACCACCCTGTCACACTCATCCACCACGCTGACCCACCACCACCCTGACCCACCACCAATTCTCGACCCATCACCCTGACACTCTCACCCACCACCCTGTCACACTCATCCACCACGCTGACCCACCACCACCCTGACACTCCGACCCATCACCCTGACACTCTCACCCACCACCCTGTCACACTCATCCACCACGCTGACCCACCACCACCCTGACACTCCGACCCATCACCCTGACACTCTCACCCACCACCTTGGGACGGTGGTGGTCATAAAAGGTCAATGTGGCAACTGTGAAAAAGGTTACCACCCAGAGTGAGGGACATGAGGCCGTACTCTACTCCCTCCTGATGGTGGCCCAGGTAATACAGTATCTCACACTGACCTAATGTTTCTTATAATCTATAACCGAATAAAATAGAAAATAAAAAATAAATAAATAAAAATAGTAAAATTATGTATTTGTTTATTGATCGAAAACCGGAGAAGATAATATGAACCAAGCATTAGAGAATATATATTGTGACACCTGTACTTGACGACAGGTGGGTCGTGTATGATCTACCGCCCAGAGTGGCGGTCAGGGTGTAAACTTGTCCTTCACACTCGGAGAAGGTCCGTGAGACTCACAACTGACACACCTCGTCATCCACAATAGATAAACATTTACAGTAAGACACACCTTCCCCGGCACCTCAATTCAAGACAGTTTCACGATATAAAAACCAAGATATTTGATGTGAGTGTTTCACAAGCATATCTGACTCTGCCATGCACGAGGTGAGCTGGACCAGTGTAGTACATTCTTTGCCAATACGCACGAGTCTATTAACAATAAAGGGAAAATTTAGTTAGACAATCTGATGGTGATTGTCAATAAGTATGGATAACTGTAATAGCTAATCAACTTTTGTTTAGAATTTAGACACATGAAAATGATAATGTTCTGGGGACCAGAATCAGAAAGTATCACTATTTTACCGGAACATTACGGAGTTCTGTGTCTCAAGGTCGAAGTGTTATGCATTTACACCTTGTTGGGCGAGGCGTTGCATGGCAGGAATCAGTGTGTGCAGCGGTGCGCACCGCACGACGGAAACATTGGTGTGTTGTGTGGGCCTCAAACACGCCATGCACGGGAAGTACGCACTCACCAGGCTCTGTTACATGAGGTGTCTTATGTGACTCTCTGACACACTTCCTGTTACACTCAAAAGAGAAAATTATATTGTACTCTCAGTGAGGTCGCTTCCTGCACCCCGGCACGACAAGTACAACACAGGAGCCGAGTACAATACACACAAGACCTGTGGTAAAGACCTGGGTAACATGGTGCTGGTGTGTGTGTGTGTGTGTGTGTGTGTGTGTGTGTGTGTGTGTGTGTGTGTGTGTGTGTGTGTAATAATAATAATAATAATAAACGGTTTATTATTAGAGTTGCAGCTTGGCTGAAAATATACAGACATTTGATTTAGACATAATGATATAATATGCATTGAATACATTTACAGGGCTGTACAGTACATAAATCAGAGTTGTTTATTATTTTAACAATAGATGGGATGGTGCTGTTCTTATATCTATCGGTGCGGGCTCTTATGGGCTGAATTTTGTTGTAGTGGCGGACTGCGCGAGTTGGGTGGGGGGCTGCAGGTGGCAGGAGGTGGCGATGGCGAAGGTGGTGCAGTAGTCCACGGCCAAACCTTTCCAGTGCTTGGTGTGTGTGTGTGTGTGTGTGTGTGTGCCAACAACCATTCAGTTCACTCTTATCAACATCCCCAACCCCTCCTCCACTTTCCAGAAAATGCATCTCATCCACCTGTGTTCCAGCAGTCACTGAAGTGTTATAGAGCGGCCTCTCACCACCACACATGAGTGAGAGATCCGCTACAACTCGCCTCACCCAACCCTCACACTTTCTCTCACATACTGTATAACGCCGAGACATATAAGTATCATGGTTCACTGAGATATGAGAGAGAAACATTTCTTATTCTTCTTATCAAGAAATATTTGTCATCAACGGAAGACTTGTGGTTTATCGACGATAAGGTGCGGGAAGATGTAATGCAGTTCTGGGGAGCCGTGAGTGATGGGCGACATACAGTACGGTACATAATCCTTCACGTTAATGTCAGCTAAAAACTTTTTTTCACATTCGGGGTAGTATATCCAGATTAGAATCCCGAACATTGGGTCACTTCTATGTAACCCGACATATAAATTCATCAAACTCGAATAGAAGTTTTGACGAATCCGTTTGTCGGGTTACATAATAAAAGTGACCTTATGTTCTGTATTCCTCTTCTGACTAGCCGTTTTCTCCGTCGCTCGGGAGCGACATGAGTGGGTTTATTAAACGTGTTCCCAAGGCTTATCACACCAGTCGTACGCATCAATGATGCGGCAGTGGTGATGACCTTCAGGGAAAGGCAATACTGGCATCCGTCGAAACAATGTTAACACCCGTCGAGAGACAATGTTAACACCCGTCGAAACAGTGTTAACACCCGTCGAGACAGTGTTGACAGACAGTGTTAACACCCGTCGAGACACAGTGTTAACACCCGTCGAGACACAGTGTTAACACCCGTCGAGACACAGTGTTAACACCCGTCGAGACACAGTGTTAACACCCGTCGAGACACAGTTAACATGTATCACCACGAGGGAGCTTCCCGGGACACTGCTGTACCGTCTAGTAAACAAACACCGTCTTCTTTCTACACAGGAGGATCAGAGATAGTTCCCCAGTGGTGTGTCTCCCCAGCGTGCTGACCCACCATGAGGCTACTCACCGCCCTGCTACTGACGACGACGCTGCTGGTGGTGGTGGT